GAGTGGACACAATTAACACCAAACCGCTGATTCGTTTAAATCTTAGATTAGATTGGCACCTATACTTTGGCGCTGTGCACCGCGAGATAGACAGGACTACATGGAAGGGGAATACAAAAGTAACATGAACGACAGAAGCACGGATTATGCTAGTATAGGCACTTATAAGCAGGAACCAATCGACGCTGAAGTCACAGGTTGATTGATCTTCACGGACCCGCCTGCGTTGGGAGCACCTCCCACTAAGACGGCTGAGTCTGCTTGCAAGTCCATAAGCCGAGTCTTGCAGTCTCTGTACAGTCATGAATTGGAGTCAAGTTCATAAATATGCACAATGAAACAAACCTTGTAAGGGTGAAGAAGACCTCTTCTACACCTTCCTTCGCCTTGGCGGACGTCTCCATGAACTTCATGCCAAGTTCATCGGCAAGTGCACGTCCCTGGATGTCTGGTACGACTCGCTTGTCAGTCCAATCTGACTTATTGCCGATGAGTATCACGTTGACGTCCTCTGAAGCACGTTGTTTGATTTTAGCGTGCCAAGTGCGGATACCTAGAGACAAGATGCGTCAGGGTGGAACAATAATGATGGAAATGACGCTAATAGCACGTACTATTGTATGATCGTTCATCTGTGACGTCGTACACAGAAGAATGCCCGTTGCTACATGGTAGCACATAGTTGTTATAGTTCTGAACCGTTCCTGGCTAGCAGTGTCCCACTATACGATATAGTAAAGTGTACTGTTTATGATGGTATTGAGACGACAACACTCACAATTTGAACCTTAATGCGCTTTCCATCTAGCTCGATCGTGCGGACCTTGAAGTTGATCCTGACTGTGGTGCTGAACGATGGTGTTTACTCGTTATCGCAGAAGTGGAGCAAAAGACAGGACTTCCCAACACCTAAGTGACGGCTTGAAATTATAACAAACTAGAACCATGGCGCAAATGCACCTGAGTCGCCAATCAAGAGCAGCTGCAAAGAAAGTTATGGGCGCAAGGTCTGGAGTATGTATGTAGCGTGCTTACCTTGATGAGGAAATCATAGTGTGGGAGAGGCATTCTAGAATATCTTTTCTAAATAATGAGATTCTGTTGTCTGTGTATGTAAGGTTAAGAAACAAACCAGATGAAGTATCAAATAGATTGAAAAGTGATTGCCTGTGTGTCCGGCCTGTCGCTGAAGTTTCGAGGACCATCGGGAGTTGCCGTTGCAACCTTTGATTATTAATACGAGAACTTTGGCGAGCTTTCTTGTTGTGGAGGGACACGGCAGCCTGTGCGATGACCCCGGATAGGCGCATGCTCATTGCAATATGGGCTGACAAGCAGAGGCTGATGCATGAGGAGGAAGTTGACGGGAACGTTAGCATCGATGATGGAATGTAGTACGGGTGCGGGTAAATGTCACCTGCGAGGGCAGATACTGTAAACGCCTCAGGTAAGCAGAACTTGACTTCAGCTGTTGAAACAGGAGCTGCATGTCCCATGAACACGAAAATCGAGTCTGACAGACACGCTGCCACCTGAGCTCCTGCCAATAAACGCGTGTCCCGAAGAGGTGAATGAGGATTCTTGCCTGGGAGACATGTTTCGCTGTGGAACCAGTGCTGGATGCAAGAAGCACAAAGTATAGTGATTTTTTATTACTTTGTGCCGTCAAAACCTCTGCAGTAGCTTAGAAACTTGAATTTGCGGCTGAAAAATTATCTCATGCACAACACAATATACAATACGTTCCTACAATGTACCTGAATGAGAATTTTCTGCCGCGAAAATGGTGCAGAAAACACGTCTCTGTGCTTCAAATGCGCCTCCTGGACTGTGTCGTCACTTAGGAGTCTCTTCAAACAGACACGTGACCGGATATTCCCATTACCTGTACGTGTCCCAAGGCAAATGGAATTCGTCTCTGGAGAAGTGAGATACAACGCCAAAGGGAAGCGCAGACGACTTGCCTTCAGCTTTACAATCAAATTTTATACTGCCCTCATCCGCACTCTAAACGACAACCAAAAGCCACTTAGAAAAAGACAAAACACAATGAATAAACATACTCACATGATCATTGTCAGTAGTTTTGAGTGCTGCATTTAGGCCCCATACATATATCTTTCCATCCAAGGCACTATTGACGATGTATTTTTCATTAGGGTCCATAACAACCCGGACTGGCTGATTGGTCATGGCGGACTGATATAGCAAACTTCCCTTCAACAAGGTTGACGTCACTCTACCAATGGAGCGTATGCCATCAGAGCGTAGTCGTATTGAATGATACATTATAAGAGTGATCACTGCTGAACATGATTCATCAGTAGAGCTAACTCGAGGCAGCGTCTTGAATTGCTCACTGAGTTCAAACAGTGCTGCGCTAATAAACTTGCCCATTATCAGGTCTTCCATTTTCATAAACTCTGAACCCATCGGAGTCAATGTGGGCCCACATATGTTTTCGAGCAGAAGCGCCAGAAGTATATCGCAAATGACCATGGCGACAACGATAAACTTCAAGCTCGGTTAGATCACCACTTCAAATCGCAAAACATTCAAAGCTGTTACCCAGTAGCTCGCCAATAAAAATAGCTTTATCTTCCTGTTGTTATGCCATAAGGCAAGTATATGCACGAGAAGCAGACCTGAAACATGAGATTCTTTTCTTTGTTAATGTCAACAAACTCACCTTCTGCGGTGGACATGATAAAAAAGAGGGACGCTAGGATGTATTAGCTGACGTTGAACCAGCGACCAGCGAGACCTACTCGCACTAGTTGGATTTAGTGTGAAGCACTGTATTGCTTAGCATTAGCATCATTGCGTTGAATAAGGTTCACAGAAACTACATACGTAGTCTGCTGCGCCAAAAAGATGGTTTCATTCATCAGGGGAAGGACAGAGGGAGTTAAGAGCATCGGCATGATCCTGAAAAACAACGAGCTCCTTCCTATCAATCAACAACCATTTTCGGATGGTGCTATCATACAAAGCGGAGAAAGTGTGTGCGCCAGTCCTTGGACCAACACAACGACCTGGTGGTATTACCCCTCGATCTTTATTGTTCTTTGACTACACGCGGTTCACCTTGTCCTCTCCACTGTTTTGTGATTTTGTCCCCTTGGGAGAGTATCTGTGCACGATCAGATATGCAACTTCTCTCGAAAACAAAAACACGTACAAAAGCAAATAGGAAAAACAGCAAGGAGAAGATCTATCTTTCACCATGAATTCCTTGTTGCTAGTGACACGTTCTCCACTCACCTAGTTGCACTCCTGGTAAAGATCGTTTCCATGAAGACACTCAAGTTGTGTGTGACTTTAATAGTACATTCTATCTCATGCAAATACCACTCGGGAGGGAGAGCTCCGCTCCCACCTGTTCTAGTTGAGTAAGCCAATAGGTATCAAAACACAGTTTACTCACCTTCCAAAGTTGCATCCTGGTAAAATCGTGCACCATAGGGAGACAGATCCTTCAAGTTCTCCCTTTTCTGACAGGTTGCACTAACCAAAGGTGAGTTCAACATCGCTCCTTGTTGTCCCATCTCTCCATTTTTACGATGTGCTTGACTCAGCCATGACGCTGACGAAGAAAGGTTTCGATTACTACACTGGTCAAGATAGATGCATCGACAGAGCGCCATAATAGTACTGGACAGTGGAATGTCAAAGGCGAGGAGATTGTCAAAGTGATGCTAGATAGTTAGCTGTACATGCCGTATTTCCAGGCATATCTTGGCATGTCGATGGCAGTGCTTCAAACACCGGGGCAATTCTACTTAGAGATTACCAGCAAGGGTGTGCTACAGGTCACATGATAGTATTTAAAAACAAACACAAACAGGAATCTTGGCACTTAGTCCAGAGGTTATGATGGAGGTACGGTAAACAGTAAAGTAGCAATAGAATTGAAACAGTACAGGGATTCGGAGCTGTTAGAAAGAGAGATCATCAAATTCGGTCATTGGAATCGGCATCATCACCGTCGTTGTCCCCAACATCGTCATGCAATTCCCCAATCGCTCAGCTCATCATCCTGATCTTGATCACTGTCCTCCTCATCGTCGAATCCATCATAACCCTCCTATCATCGCCGGCCACTTCATCATCTACATCCTCATTGTTACTACTATTGGCTATGTCCATGGCATTGATCTGTACCACTGACTCAGAGCAGTCCCTCGTGATTTTCTGTAGCATTGCTGGATGTCCCACACCAAAATGAGTATAGCGCAAGAACATATCTCTATCAACGAATCTGGCACAAAGGTTAAGGCTAATGCACCACGAAAAATAGGATGTTTGCACTTACATGCCGACATAATTGGCTCTTCTTCCCAGTCATCTAAAACTACTCCCCTCCAGGATGGGGCCATGTTGAGTGTGCTGTAGCGAAGTGAGGCTGATACCACTGTCCGGAGGAAAAAGCAGGAATCAAAATGGAGCTCCTCGGTATTACCTGTCCTGGGAGTCCAAGGAACCTGAACGCATCTGGGTCAGACTCCTCCACAAACACGATCTTTGGGAGAAGAGCATGGTTTATGCCAGATTTGTAGTTCTGCAAGGTTGCTAACCACCTAACCCAGAGCACCTCGAGATGTCGCTTCACGGGTCGACCCGTGACGTTAAGCCAGACCTCCATATGAAACACTCCTAAGACACGGGCATATCAGTATGGGTGGCTAGGCATTGTCTTGCCTGACAGCACCATAACGTCCCTGTGAGTTCTAGGGTTAATAGTATCGTATTCGCGCCGCAAGTCATAGGTAGTGTAGTGCACTTGCATGGTCTGCACCGAGTAAATTGTGCTATTGGGGATAACGACAGAGTTGCGTTCACATTGAATTGTGGTCACAATGGCTAACATCCAGCTCCCGTAGTTGATAGAGGATATGGTCCTTAAGTCTTGGTAAAAATTCTGATAACCGCTGTGAGCAGAGTGTATTATAGGTACATCTAAAAGGCGACTTCTACCTTAACAGCTGGATCGCCATCATGTTCTCGGAGAAATGAGAAAAGCTTTATTGGGTTGTTCCGATTAGTCGCAATATGGTGATGCTGATCGAGAGACGTTGGTGGGGTGGAGTCGTCTCATGATTGACCACCAGAGGACAATATGCCTACTTCTGCCACCCGTCGTAGTACACGATGCCTACGCTCATGCTTGGCTAGCTGCCCTGGAGTGTCTATCTTGCTCGTCAGCGGATAAAATGCCTTGAGCGCTCTGTGAGCAAGTTCTCCCTGAATAATTTAAGTTCAAGTTCAAACTACGAGCGCAGATAGTACGTACAATCTGAGTAGTGAAAGAATCGGTAGTCCCGAAGAGCTTAATTGTCATCACATAATCCCCCATTGCATGAAACTTATAGGTGCTCAGATTGAACATCTTGATCCTCGCCCCACTCGATTCTGGAGGGGTTCCGTTCGTCTCAGAGAGTTTAGCAGCCCTTCATTGGCGAGCCGCTTTTTCTTTGGGCAATTCCAGAGTGTTGAATGCAGCACAAGTAGAGTTTCGAAATTTCCGTAACTTCTTCGATAGCTGCTTGAATGTTTCTTCAAGAAATTTGGCCGTAGACTCCGAGTGAAGCCTGAGTTTTGCGAGGGCATGCCACTGCGCGAATCGATACAACAGTGATTGCACAACTGCATCGTGACCGGTAGGAAACAATCCCTCAAAGACAGGAATGGCACACTAATGACGAGAGTTGTCAGCGGCTCAAATGCAGAAACAAATAATCTGAGAAACCTGTAAAATGTCTTCAAAATCACACGCTGCTAATCTTTTCATCTCAGATGTATTATTTGAAAACCTGCGAATGACGCTGTTACTGAAAGTTGGCACTTGTCGAAACCTGGAGCAAAATCAAGAGTTGATCGTGACGACCTATTAGCAGGCAACAGTACTCCGTACAAACTCCTCGTACCTGCTGTCAAGTCTCGCGACAAGTTCACTACCCCAAGGAAGGGCATAAAGAAGCCTAATAAGATGCGTGAATACTCCCTTCCAGGTACCTAATTCACACTCGTGCATGAAGTCGATGACAAGCATCCGAAATGGATTGAGGCCGAAAGGTCCAAGCTTCGCGACAAATTGATTCTATGATTGGATATATGAGATGATCATAAAAGGATGGGGAAACAGTTTTGCTTACAAGAACAGGCACCCATGAACCTTCTCCAAGGGTATGTTCTACCTTTGCACCATCTACAGTGTTTCCGCATCTGTAGATAAAATCACGGGCCTGAATAACCTTTGACATAGCGTACACTCGAAGGTTGATTAAATGGCTCTTCATATCCCTTACGAGTCCGAGATAACTAAACATTTGTTTGGGTGTGAGACAGCGAGGGCATGGACACAAGCCCATGTCCTTAATAGTAGCGATTAAAACCCTGTAAAATGATGAATAAATCAAATTTAAATTTGTGGAAGGATGTACTTTTCAGGATAGTCGGCAGAATAGGTGAAAATCCGGTGTAGAGACTCATGCCTCTCATTGTGCAATATGGCAGTTTTCACTGGGGAGTACATGGCACGAACTTGTAGCATCACTCTGTGTGCTACCTGCAGCTATCTCTATATGAGGCGCAGCTTTCCCGCGCAACGCGCGCCATGCGCGCGTACCTTTCCCGCGCTTTACGATGTATATGCGCGCGCGCTTTCCCGCGCTGTAGCGCCCTATAGTGCCAGCCATCCAGAAGCATCCATCCACTGTCCACCAAGTTCCCTAGTGCGTATATTTCCATTTCTCACATTTGCATATTGTTCCATCTTTATTTTTATCATGGACCCTTACTTACATATATCTTTACATACCTTACTCGGTAGCGCTTCGGCTCCGCATGACAGTGCTTAGGCGCCATACTTAAGCGCCAGCAGTACATACTTACTTACTGACTTACTCTCCCACCAGAACGACAGAGGACTTACTGGTTACTACCCACTATTTACCTAGCAGAACATAGTAGAAATCTATTTGTTTACACCTCGCATCTCTCTTCTCTTGTCTTACATCATATCATCACTTAAGCAAACTCACTCTTACTCTCTCTCATATCTGTATACACGCGCACGCTTTCCCGCGCTTCGCGCCATACAAGCGCGCATTCCCACGCCTTGCGCGCACCTGCGCTTTCTCGCGCTTCGCATTGGCCAACCAGTAGCGCTTTCAGCGCATACCTCTAGATCCTTGCTGCACTCGCTTTCCCTTTAGGGTCGAACGCACTTGTCGTCTCAAGTATAGCAGACTAGGCAACGCGCGACCTTACAACATTTATAGATACAACCAGGAGCATTGTTCGTGCCTCGCTGTATCATTGAACCTTCACCGGGGAAAGGTCCTCCGCACTACTCTGTCGGCACACTTCAGAACAATACCATGGCGATATGCAGAAAGAAAGTCATTGTCCACAAGATTTCCCAGCATGAATGAAATAGCTGCCTGCGGCAGTGAGCATGAAGGGACACCATGCCGGTTTTCGATATACCAGATAGGCA